CAGTATCATTACTGTATAGCAGGCAAAGGGCAATCCCTTTGCTGCTCTATAGAGAGAAGCTGAGATATGTGGGGAGACAGATCGCCTCTACTCGGGGGGCATCTTCTCCAATCCTTTGCTGTCTGAAGACAGATCCCCAGTTCTATACTGGGCTGGAGGCAGGGATCACCACAGGAGATTCTCTGGCCTGCGTTATACAGGAGGTCAGACACGGGTGATCTAATGGTTCCTTTGGGCCTTATAATCTATTGTATTCTACTGTATTCAGGTTCTTCATCCTCCCCTCCTCCCCCCCCCCCAAAATAGGCTTCCAGCAACTAAAACTCAAAATATCCCTTGATAGGTACACTAGAGAGAGTAAAATTACATTAGAGAGGTGATAAGCAAGGGCTGTTTTGATTGCTGTTCAGGCTGGGACTTCACCGAGTGACGTTCAGATACCGATTTGACATTGGTTGTGCCTTAGCACGTAACAGGACAGACCCCGAGATGATTGTCATCACTCAAATCCAGGAAACTTTTTTAGCTTGCAGGGCAAGAGCTCGAGGATTCAGGGTTTTTGCCCCAGAGATCAATGGTGAGCAAGGTGGAAGGATGCCAGTGTCCCAAAGAAACACCCTATCAATGCCCCAAGTGAAGAACCCAGTGGTTTTTCACTCCCATGGAAAATACAGTCCACTTTCAATCGCAGCCGCACATCACATGGCAGATGCACCTATAGTCTCCATAAAGGGGAACTGAGGCATAGTCCTATTTGTGCCTGGGCAAAGGGACTTCAGACTGTGGAATACCTCGTGAATCATTTGGGACATTGATGCTATCCCAGTGGGCTCTCTGCAAATCACTGTGCCTCCCCTGAAGCAATCAAGTGGATTGCGAACCTAGGCTTGGATATCTAACACTGCTGGTTTTAAGCATATGAAAGAAGAAGAAGAAGCAAAGGCTCATGCTCCCGGGCAAGCTAAGTCTAAATTCTGTGCCTATCCTGTTTCCCTTCTGATTTCTGGAGCAGCAGATCAGCAATTCTGTGGCAGCATCGGGTAAAGCCAATAAATGGCGTCTTTTGCTGAGCTGAGTATGGGAATGAATGATCCAATCTGCGCAGCTGTTCCTTATTTTGCTGTTGTAATGCACCCCGCCACTGGGGGCTGTAACAGGGTGTCTTGCCCCATGGAGTGCAGATCCTGGGACTAAGCCAACTCTAATTACAGGATGAGCCCCGCCTGAGTGGGATCAGGAATTCCTTATAAAAGGCTGCAGATGGCTGACCCAAGCTGGGGGAACCATGTAGGAAATAGAGGCCTGAGAAGTTGTAGCGGGCAAGAAGGTGATGGAAACCGCTGCAGGGAGCAAGATTAGCTCTTGCAGAGACTGTGAAAGTGCAGATCTGGAAAAGAGGACTGGGAACAACCCAATGAAATAGAGATGGATGTTGAACTGAGGTTGGGACCTGGAGGGCCAGTGTATATGTGAAGAGTGAATAAATTGGACCTCAGGTGGGGAATGTTTTAATTTCCTTTGGATGCTCTTGAGTTTGGTTAAGGAACCCTGTAAAGGATACAGCAGGGATGGAGTGCTGCAAGGTGACCTCTGGCTTTGAGGGGGAGCTTGGTTGGCAGCCAACCCTGTTACATGGGGAGGGGGCTGTGATCCACCAACCCCCTCCAGATGCTCAGAGGTGTCCCAAGTGTACCCCAGATTCAGCAGCAAGAGCAGTGGGCAGGTCAGCTGCTAGTCTCTGCAGACTGTCCCCCCAATTCCCACTTGCACACTGCTGGATGGAAAAGACTGAGAGCTGATGGAAAGGAAGCAAATCACTCCCAGGAATAGCTCAGGGAGTTTCACTAGGAGATCAATGCAGCAGTTCCTAACGGGCCCCTTGGGGCAGCCCAATAGAAGGGTGCAAGCTTAACTGTTTCCACAATTAAGCAGAGATCTGTAGCTCCCACTGGCCAGAGTTCTATTCCAGCATGAATAGCATCACTGAGTCCTAGCCGTTGTCTCCACTCTCCTGCCTGCAGGCTGCTTCCAAGGTCTCCTGCTGCACCTGGCCCCTCTCCAGCCAATATGCTTCCTAGCTGAGCTCTCTGCTTCTCACCCAGCCTCCAGCTCCCAGGCCACTGTCAGATGCCCTTGAATGAGCTCCCAGCCTGCTGACCTGTACTTCTCTGAGTTGCTCCTGGGGGAGCCAGGAAGCTGCTGCTCAGCAAGCTCCTGCTAAGATGAAGCTCAGCTGATTTTATGCTGCCCCCAGGCTTTTTGCATTGACAACCATGCCAGCCTCTCAGGAGTCACCAGGTGGAGAAGCTGGAAGGGTTGGCAGCTGGGGAGGGTGCATTAGGGAACATGGGAGAGCTGGAAGATAGGCTGGGGTTTTAGCATGCAGGAGGTGGCTGAAATTGTGGTCAATAAAGCCCAGATGTGGCCATGTGTTCCCCTCCTCCTTCTGGGCAGGGGGAAAGGTTGCTGGCTGGGGACTGAATTCCTGATTGCGTCTACATTAGAATGTTCCTAACCTTTATTCCCAAGTGGTAGCACTCATTAGAAACAGCTAGCATGGCCCAGGTGCCAGCACTGGCATTGCTGTGGCATCTCCCCCTGCTCACAGCACAGGGAGACAACATGACAGAGAAACCACCAGCAGCTGCTGCACCCAAGCACCCTGTCAGGGCTAGGGCTAGGCCCAGCTCAGCTGCATGAGTGCGGAGGAGAATAATGTGTCTGGTTACCAGGGGAAACACTGGCTGAAATAATTGCTTGCTGTAGCAGGACGTGTCTGCCAATACACTCAGCAGTGAAATAGTTAACCTGGCTGCCGTTTCAGTAGCCATCGTGAGGTTTCAGAGTGAACACCCTGTTTCTCTAAACGGGGATGACTGGCACGTCTCCTGGAGCTGTTGCTCCAGGCTGGAAGCTGGCCTGGCTGGAGAACAGTTCTTATGCAGCCATGAGGATGAGCTTTTTAAGGGAAAAAGCTGCAGGGAGCTAAGGAGCTAAATCCCTTCAGTGCCCCTGAACACCCTGACCTGCTTAACCATGCATTTCTTGGGTGCTGATCACTGCAGTGTCTGGATCCCAAAGGGCTGCTGCTGCATCACATTCCCAAGACAGTGAGGATCTTCCCCCCACCTCATCAGCTCCCATCCTCCCCATGTTGTGCTTACAGCATAGGCGGTGTCCTAGTTTTACTACTTGTCGCCCTGCATCAAAGCGCAGCTGAGTGGGGGAGGGGGAGATGCAGACAGAGGGGTGCTGGGCCAAACCTGAGTGACACTGCAACCCTGTACACCAGGTCGCAATGCTGCTTGGTTTGGGGCCCTGTGAAATGTGGCACTCAGTACAGCCTTTCCCTTCGCCTCCTCTTACCCCCCATGCTGGGTGGATGTGGGAAATACTCTTCTTCAGCCAGGACAGGGGGTTTGGGGCATCGACATGGGACAGTCCCGCTAATCCTTGGGCAGTCTGCCACTGTGACTCAATATGTAACTGGCACCAAATTGGAGAGGGCAGCAAATGCACACTTAGGGATCGGGGACTGCGACCTGGAGAGATCAGAGCAGGGGGGCTTCCGGGACTATGTAGCACAGATTCACTAAAGGGCGACACAGCCTAGTCACTGCCCCCATTGGGTTAAAGTTAGATTGTAATTGATTTGGGGCATGGATCATCTTTTTGTCCTGTGTATGTACAGCACCCAGCACCATTGGGACCTGGATAAATCAATAATAACTAAAAGCTGGTTCATTCCCTTTAGAGCTGGTAGGAGAAAGGCAAGTATGTTTTGCGCATGCACACACAAAAAATCAGAAAAAAACAAACCCCACCCCACTTCCCCACCATTTGAATGTTTGGGGTTTTTTTTTGATGTTTTTCCATTTTGTTTTATAAGGCTGGGGGTGGTTGGAACTAAAAAAGGGAAGGAAAAAAGGGTTTATTTTCCTTACAAAATGATATTAAAAATTGATTTTTTTTGATCCATTGGAAAACACTTTTCCACTAGAAAGTTTTCATTGGCTCTGAGTCCCATCGCTCTCCCTAGCCCTCTCCCTGTATTTTTTTTCTAATTCCCTAGGCAGTAATTTCCGAGTGGGTTGTGATGGCAGAAGTGGGGTGCTGCGGGGCATGTGCCTATGGGAAGAGCCATCTCCAAAGACATGGCCCACAGAGTGGAGCCTCCTCTAACCACGGTCCATGATCCAGGCCTCTGACACCTCTGGGTTCTGCTGTGGAGGCACAGTGGATATCACAGTCAGTGGGGTTTACTGCTTCTTCCCCCTGTAGGGTGAGTCCACAGCTCTAGCCTCTTTCCCTTCAGGCCCAGTTTCCAAGGGCCAGGTGAGGTGGCTGAGGCCACCACTGCCAGGGCCGACGAGAGGGGGGGAAGCCGTACAAATTACTGGAGCCCAGGGCCTGACTATGTTGCATATGTTTTTGTCTTTCATTTGTATACCAGGCAGGGCATATTTGTTTTTTTGCACATCAATACAAATCCCGTGTAAAGATTTTTAGCTGGTCTGCCCTTGCTGGGGGGCCCGAAAAATTTTTTTCACCAGGGCCCGAACCCGCTCTCAGCGGCCTTGACCATTGCTAGGGCTAAAGGGCTACGTCCCCCAGCTGGCAGCTTTAGGAGAATCATCACCCTCCCATGTGGATCAGCCACTGCTGGGGGGCTTGGACCCAGAGTGGGTGAGGCAAGGATTCCAGGCAGTGCTGCTGCTGGGGATCCAGGCAGAAGAAGGGGTTAGCTGGGCTGTTAACACCATTAGCCTCCTATTCTCCATCAGCAGTGCTCTCCAGCCTGTCCTGCTTCACCAAAGGCCTTAATGACCTGCCACTAACGATGCTACAGCTAGTGCCCCAGCAAGGGAGATTCCAGGCCTGGGGACCACTACTCAGTGCCCCATTGGCCAGGGCCCCAGAGGGGATGGTGACTCCATGGTGAGCCCAGCACCCCATTAGCCAGTACCATGGAGGAGACAGAGTCTTTAGGGTGAGTCTAGCACCTCACTGGCCAGTACCATGAATGGGATGGTTGCTCCCGGGTGAGCCCTTATCTATGGTGGGGGAAGCAGCCCTGCTGCTGTGCTGTTTCTCCAGATGGAGGGTGCCCATCAGAGGCTCCATTACCTGCATTCCCAGTTTCTCAGCCCCTCTCCTTGCCTGGAATAACCCTCACGGTGCGGCCAGCTCTTGCAAAGGGTTTATTTCAGGAGCGAGGGCCAGACACAGGCAGAGCTTGGGAAACAGTCACACAGATATGAAAACAAGACACAGTTGTCTCCAGGGGCCCGTCCTATCCTCTGCTCTGGGGGGAAGGGGTGGGGGCTGCTGAACCCTGAAATCTCTGGACAGTGGAAAGGCCAGGACAAGTTGCACCTTCTGGAGCACCCCTTGTCCCCAGGCTGGCCAGTGCCCTGGAGCTCAGTACACAGAGAATTTGACCTCCAGCCTCTCGCTGTTGGAGACGACGTAGTCCCCAGCACCTGGAACAAGAGGAGAGGAAAGGGAGGGTAAGGGACGCAAATGGGGTCAGTGGCCCCTCAGCCCCAACCACCCACCTGCACACCAGCCCCTCCCTGGGTCCAACTGTCTTCTCCAGGTTCTCATCCCTGCTTTCTCTTGTGCCTCTCACCCCCCTGTTCATCCCTCTCTCCCCCCACAGTCCCTCTCCCCTCACACTGCTCCCCACCCTGTCCCACCTTGGCTCAGCGGGATGCCATTGCTCAGGAGTTGCCAGTAGGTGCGCTGGTTGTTATCGGCCTGCAGCCCCTGCACGGAGGTGATGTATGGGCCCCAGGAACTCTGCGTGTACGTGAAGCTAAAGAGAGACGGAGAGAGTCATGCAGGAGGCCTGGTTACCACTGCCTCATAGCCTCTCCAACCCCCACTCCACAGGGACATGCAACTGAGGACACAGTGAGACTGAACTCCCATGCCATTGGGGGGCGGGGGGAGGAGGAGGAAGGGATTGAGAAGCAGCCAAGCTGGCCCCTGCCTGAGCTCCAATCTCCCCATCCCAAGGAGACATTGTCCAGCTGAGTGATGCGGAGGAACCAGCCTTGATCCCCCTTCCCAGCCCCTGAGGGTTTAACCTGCCCCCATGCACAGTGGGGTAGAAGAGGCATGTCCCCCCCTGTGATCCTAGGGACCCCTCTGTTTTTTTAAATCTCTGTTGCCCTAGGAGCCCCATGCTACCATCTAGCCTGCTCTCCGCTGCTGCTACTGCCACCAGCAATGGGTGCCGCATTGCCAGGCTGAGCAAGTACCTGAATTTGCTGGGGTCTTTATCCTGGGCGACCTCCATCACCTTGAAGAAGACGGAGCCCTGGGGCACGGTGACACTGATAGAGTTGTTGAATGTGTTGTTCAGACTATCGGCAACAGTGTAGGTGACACTGATGCTAGGTGGGCAGCAGCTAGTGGGTGGGGCGGGCCTGGCGGTGGACAGGGGGAGATTATCTGTGTGGGGAGAAAGAGGAGAGAGGGTGAAGAACTGCCACATATACCTTGGAGAGAGCGACTCTCTGACTGCAGGGACTCCAGTCCCATTAGAGTCAAGGGGAAAGAAAGAGGCAGAAGCAAAGACAGAGAGGATCTAGGCAATGGCCCTCTGGGAAGGAGATTAGCTGGGACTGAACCCAGGGCCTTTGGATCTATGATGATGATGGTCTGGTGATTGAGCTAAGGACAAGAGTCTTTAGATTGAGACTCATAAATCTCTAGGCCCTCCAGTCACTAGATGGAGACATAGAGCCACACTGGCTTAGCACGGGCTACACAGTAGAACTGAGCAGGAATTTTTCAATGAACCTTTTTTTCACTGAAAAATGCTGAGTTGATGTCCGAACTGTTCACGAAGCAGTGTTGAGTTGGTAGAAATTCCTGCATCGAAAAATGTTTGGCAGAAAGATTGCTGAACTGGAAAGTTTTGGTTTTTCAACCTGAAAAAACTTTTCACTGAGAAATTTTAGTAAATTTACAGAGAAAAAAAGGGGGTAAGTTTGTAGTAGAAACATTTTGACGCTATCAAAAGGAAACATTTTGATTGATACAAATCGAAAAATTTAATTTTTGTTTGTTTTTCTTTCTTTCTTGAATCTTCAGTTTGCGAACATTTTTGAGATTTTTTTTGCCTTTTCAGCCTCATTCAGGATGGGAAACATTTTTGAAATATCAAAAATTCTCATGGGATGGGAAAACCATCCCCCCCCCATCCCTTGCTACATGTGTTTCTGTCTGCCTCAGGTGCTTTAGATGGCCCAATTATCATCCTTAACAACACCCCGATGAGGCAGGACAGTGCTATTAACCACATTGTACAGATGGGAAACTGAGGCACAAAGACACAGGATACATCTATACAGCAAAAAAATCCAAACAACAAAAAAACCCATGGGAGCAAGTCTCAGAGCCTGAGTCCACTGATCTGGGCTTGAGCTCTGGGGCTAAAAATAGCAGTGAAGACATTAGGGCTCTGAGACCCAATCCCTCACCAGATTTCAGAACCCAGGCTCCAGCCCAAGCCCAAATATCTACACTACTATTTCTAGCCTCCAGCGTGAGCCACACGAGCCCATGTCAGTTGACTCATGCTCTAACTCTTTCTGCCAGAGGGTTGTTGTTTTTTTTGGCTGTGTAGATGTACCCTTAGTGACTTGCCCAAGGCTGGCTGAGCAGGGAGCTGAATATGGGTCTTCTAAATGCCAGGTAAGAGCCCAACCACTAGGCCACCCTTCCAGTGCATGGTTGAATTAATGGGCTTTGTCGGCCTGGGTGCTACCAGTTCTCATGTCCTGCGCTGGGAGAATGGGGCCTCTGCACTTAGCAACCCAAGGGATGCTGCCTTTGGTCTTCTCTCCTTACCTGGGTTCATGGAGCAGTTGAGCCTACTCACGTCCAGGTAGGTCCTGTTCTCCAGGGAAGGGAGGATCTGGGAAGCAGCCATTGGGTTTTTGAATGTGCCCTGGGGAATCTCGTCCAGGACCCTGTGCAGAGTCTGGAGGCAGTTCCAGGCCCCGGGTTTGAGATAGCTGGATGAGACAGATAAGGCCTGTGGAGGACAGAGAGGAAGGCAGGGTTACCTGCTGGGGCCTGGCTGCCCACGCCCAACATGACTGTGATAGAGGACAAGACTGCAAGCAAAGGCAGCTGGGAAGGGGCTACAAGAACACGTCCGGATGGCCCACCAGGGAGAGAGCAGAAGGGTGACTGGGATGTAGACAGAAGGGAGGGATATGTAAGGCCTTCTATCAGTGAGGGAATTTGCAGCCCAAATCCTCTGTTCTCTCTCTACCTGGCACTGAGCTGCCTCCATTTATGGCAATATGGTGTTAACTCTGGAACCTACCAATGACACAGTAATTGCTGACATTAACTATTCCACAGCTGAATTATCCAGATGCTCGGCAGTTGTGGGGAGGGTCTTTGGATTGTGGGTGAAGCTAGAATTCAGTCCTACCCCCTTTGATTCCCATTGGGACTCTGGTCCCTCACCTGCATAGCCAACCCGGTGCTGTAGATGTTCCCGATCACTCCATCTCGTCTTTTCTTAGCCAGGATTTTGTCCACTAGCCATTGCACGTTCTGTCTGATCTTCTTATGCACCTTCGGGGGGAGGGGCTGCCCCCTGGTCTGCAGGCAGATCTGAGCCAGGACTGCCACCGCTGCAGTGTCTGTGGGGACCGGAAGAGTGGCTCAGATGGGACTACCACGCCAGAGAGGGGTGAGGGACAGTGTCATCCCAGCACCCACCCCAGGGGACAGTCATGGGGGGGACAGTCCCAGCTCCTACCACCCGGGACCTCCCCATAGGGGAAGCCATGGGCCGCCAGGTATAGGAGGCTGTGTGCCTTTACCCACCCACAGAGAACTGGCCGCTGAGGTAATACTTCTTGTGGTCCGGGCTGAGGAGGGCGCTGGCATTGGCTGGTGAGAGGCGGCCGTTCAGCTGGCACAGGGCCAGTACGTCCAAGCTGAGTTGGTAGAAGTTGGTCAAGGGGTTGCCATGGATCGCTGTGGGGGAGAGACCTCTTGTTAGCCACAGACATACAGACTGGGGCCAGGATAGAGGGGGCAAAACGGGGGGCATGGGTGGTGAGATATATTCTTTTGTGGTGCCCAGGCTCCACGAATATTCAGGGCTGGGGGCCCTGCTCCACCAATATTTGGAGCTGGGTCTCTCCCCCGGCCCTACCTGGAGCGGGCCCCGGCCCCACCTGCCACCCTCCCACGCATCCTCCCCGACCCCGGAGCGTCCCTGCCAGAATGAAAGCTGCGAGCGGCTCTCCCTTGCCTGCTGGCGCCAGCTGCTGCTGCCTATGGCAACAAGAGACTCTGGCAGGAGGCTGGGGCCCTGGCTGCTGCACCTCAGGACGGGGAGGGGGAGGGGGAGGAGGCACACACGTGCTTGGCAGCCCTCCCCTCCCCTGGCACACACCGAGAGGAGACGCCAAGGGGGCTTCCGGCAGGAGACCTCACTCACCTGAGCAGCTGCTGGGGCTTTGGTGAGTGTTTGACCCCGTAATCTGCTCCCTCACAGCCCCCACTCCTTCCCCACGCTAGGCAAGGAGCAGCCCTATCCCCCACACCCAGTAAGACTATGGTGAGGGGCAGCAGGCTGCAGCAGGGGAGGAAGGAAGCCACATGTGATGGCAGCCCTTCCCCCCCCCCGAGCACCCACCCACTGCAGGGGAGACTGGGTGGGGGGCTTCCTACACCTGAGCAGCTGGGGCTTGGGTTAATTTTGTGATATCCTGTCCTCCCTCCCGCCCTGCAGCCACCACTCCTGCCCCACGCTGGGCAAGGGGCAGCCCTGTCTCCCATCCCCAGTGAGGCTACTGTGAGTGGCAGCAGCAGGGGAGGCCACACATGATGGCAGCCCCCCCCCCAATACCCCCATAGGGGAAGTGAGGGGGCTTCCTGGACCTGAGAAGGGCCCTAGGAGCATGTGCAGTGACAGTGGTGCAGAGTGAGTGTGCTGCAGGGTGGGGGGGGGGGGAAAGAGGAGGTGTCCCTCACCTGGAGCTTGCTGCTGCCGGCAGGGAGCGGGTTGTGGGGGGAATCATCTCTGACCCTAGCCCTGGGGCAGCCTGTTTGCACCCCAAGCTCCTCATCCCTGGCTCTGCCCCACCCCAGAGCCTGCACCCCCAGCACCCTAACCCTGAGCCCCAGTCCTGAGCCCCCTCCTGCACTGTGAACCCCTCATCCTCAGCCCCACACCAGAGCCCTCACCTGAGGGGGAAAACACGCAACTTAAATTTGGCAGTCAGTTTGGGGTATGATTGTGTTTAGCACAATACTTGATTATTTTACACCCTTTAAAGTATATAATTGGTTGTATACAGGTGTTACAAAGTGGGAATGTTCTTAATGTTTTCTCTGAATATTGTGTGTGTACCTCAGTTTCCCCTATGCATTTCTTAAGGATCTAGGTGGTGGGATAAGGGTGTGTGATTGTTGTAGACACCCTGTCTTCTGGCAGCTGATGACCTGGGCTGCTCTCCTGCAAGGTGCCAACTGAAGGTGTTGGAGAACAAAGAGATCAGGTGGCCTCCTAATGCCTGGAAAAGAGACAAAGGCCAGAGGAGGGGCTGGAGGGAGTGTCGGTGCCTGTGCGGACTCCCGGGGAAGCGCACAGTGTGGAAGGGGATGCTGGGATGCTCTGAAACTACTGAATACGAAGCCAATCAGGACTCTGTGGGAGCTTCCTCTCTCTGAGCATACTGTCTCCAGGGCAAGAAGCTTACACCTTCCTGGGTCTGACCTCGGAGCATTCAGCATGCCCTTCCACACAGGCAGGGCTCCTGGGGAAGCCAGAGGGTCCTGCACCCCAACTCCGCAGTCAGCCGGTAAAACAGAAGGTTTATTAGATGACAGGAACACAGTCTAAAACAGAGCTTGTAGGTGCAGAAAACAGGACCCCTCAGTCAGGTCCATCTTGGGGGGTGAGGAGCCCAGACCCAAGTTCTGGATCTCTCCCTGTTTCCCCAGCCAGCTCCAAACTGACACTCCCTCCAGCCCCTCCTCTGGCCTTTGTCTCCGGACAAGAAGGCCCCCTGATCTCTTTGTTCTCCAACACCTTCAGTTGGCACCTTGCAGGGGAAACTGAGGCACCCACACAATATGCAGAGAAAACATTAAGAACATTCCCACTTCGTCACAGCAGGTACAACAAAATATAATATATTGAAGCAGGCAAGTGCTGCTTCTGACTTTCCACTTTTAATTGACCCTTGTAATCTTGTGGCGCCAACGCGTTGTAGCTTCATTTTATCCCAGCAACAAATTCTTGATTTGTAGGACCACTAATAATCAACAATGGATAAATTCTTAATAAAGTTACCCAGAGAAAAAGAAAAAAAAGGTAATTCATCAAGTGACGGCCTGAGTTCGACATTCAGCTTTCAAACTGAAGTTATACAAAAGAAATATGCGGCAAATCCACAAAATAAGAAAAGGAGTTTTCAGCAATCTTGACTATCAAGATTTAAGTGGTTGGAGTACAATAGCAAATTAAACAGAGTTTTTTGCTCAGTCTGCAAAAACTGTTCTGAAAAGAAGATCTTAATATTTTCTATGAAGGCCGAACTAACATTTATTTCGTCTGGATTTCAAGATTGGAGACTCGCATTGCGTGGTTTTACATCACACAAAAAATCCTCTTGTCACAAGGAAGCGGTAATGAAGTATGCTGCTCTGCAATCACAGGTAAATGTTTCTGCACTAATGTCGTCCAGTTGCAGAAAAGGGTCACAATCAGCTAGGATTGCACCGCACAACATTTTTACCAGTGTTCAGTACCTAGCTCAACAAGGAATAGCATTATGTGGACATAATGAGAGTGATTCAAATTTGATGCAGCTCTTGTTGCTACGCAGTACAGATTCTGAGGAACTGAGACAGTGTCTTAATCGCACAAAATACAAGTGACTGTCACATGAGGTTATTAACTAAATAATCGAAATGATGGCAATGATGGTGCTAAGAAAAATTGTGCAAAAGATAAAGGCTTCTAAGTTTTATGCCATTGTAATGGATGAGACTACCGATTTGTCAAGAAAAGAACAAGTAAATTTTTCTTTAAGGTTCTTTTCTAGTGAAGACTGGGAGATTTATGAGGAGTTTATTGGGTTTTACCAAACTGATGCAATGGATGCTGCTTCTCTTTTCAAACTTGTGGAAGATACACTTCTCAGGTGTGATTTGCCCTTTTCTGATTGCCGGGGGCAGTGTTACAACGGAACCAGTAATGTGTCCGGCAAATTTACTGGAGTCCAAGCCAGAGTGATATTTGCAGATCGAGAAATTGCCAGCTTAATTCAGTGAGTGAAGTGAAGCAATTTCTAAAACAAAACAAAGGCTTGAGTGACATGTTGTCAGAAGTTACAATTCTCCTGAAATTATTCTATACAATTCTGACTACAACCTGCACTGCTGAGCAATCATTCAGTTGCTTGCGCCGACTGAAAAATTATTTGCAAACGACAATGGGCCAAGAAAGTCTAAATCACTTGGCATTTCTGCATGTTCATAAGAATTCTACCTCTGAATTGGACATTGCAAGTCTCCTGGATGACTTCATTTCAAGAACTAAAACAACAACGAAAAGTGTTTGCTGCCTCCTGAAGAACATCGCAAAAGAAGGGGCTATATTTGTTTTAATTTTAGAAAGTATTTGCTTTTGAGGGTTATTGATCAAAGAGTGTATGGTTGTTTCCGTATTCAAAAGAGTATTAATAATGTTGATATTCTTAGTTAAATAATTTTTTCTTATGATAGTGATATTGTGCAATAAAGAGAAACTTAAACGCTTACAGTTTCCAGTCCATTTTTACACTATTTAATAAAATATATATCAGCTTACAAGGCAGGAGGGTGGGGGCGGGGGGGGGATTAGACCCATTCTGGGCACCACCAAAAATTATACAAACCTGCCGCCCGAGGGCATGGGATGGGGGAAAGGGCCTGAGAGAGGGAGACACAGAGAGATGGGGAGAGAGAGAAGGGAAAGGGAGTGAGGGGATGGGAGAGCTCGACTGTGTGGGTGCAGAGGGGTTGAGCCAGGCAGGATCCCCCACTCCCCCCAAGGCTTGGGCTCACCTATGTTCTGCAGCTCCGCCTGGAACTTCTGCTCCAGAAGATGCACCAGGTTGATGGTAGAGCTGTTCGCAGAGACCCGCCGGGGGTCGGAGCAGGAGGCCTGTTGAGCCAGGATATGTAGGGCCACCTGGCCCGAGGAGAAGGACACAACTGAAAAGCAGCGCGCCGGGGTGGGGGTCAGTGGGGCTGGCCATGCTGCAAACCTGCCCTATGCTCCCTGCCCCAGTCTCTATCTCTGCCTCTGGCTCCCTGCCCCAGCCTCTGCCCCACTGCCCCAACCACTGTCTCTGCCCCAGGCCCAGCCTCATCCTCAGCCTCCCTCCCCCAGTCTCCCTGCACCTCACCCCCCTTGGGTGTGTCTCTTTCCCCCCCACCCCGCCCCATCAGTCTGTCTGTTCCTATCTGTCTCCCTTTATTTTTCTGCCTTTCTCTTCTCCCTTTGGTTTCATGCTTTTCAGAAGGGAGCAGAGTTTCAGCACCAGTATTGTTGTACCCAATGGAGGTGCCATGGGACGCGAAGGGGTGGGGAGATGGCTGTTGTTTTTGGGGGTGCTGTGGGGCACAGTGGGCATGGGGAGATGGCTGTGTTTTGGGGGCTGCTAGGGGGTCACCTCTATCTTACAGAGGGGTGCATATTTGGGGGACAGCTTTGTTGTGGGGTCACCATTACCCTTTCAGGGGGTCTGACTTTATATGTGGGGTTATTGGGGACCCCACTTCCTAATGGAGGATTGGGAAGGCTGGTTCTATTCGGGGGGCAGTGTCAGAGTCCCACATGCCTGGTGGGTGTCTATGTGTGGGGAGGGGGGCAAAGCCCTTACCAGCTCGCTGCACTGCGTCCTGGCTCAGTTTGTTCAGCATGTCCTGCTCGATGTGCATGTTGTGGTCCTGGGCCAGCCGCAGGGAAAGCAGGATGCTGGGGTTCGGGGGAGCACTAGCATCCACTGAATAGATCATCTTCTTCTGCAGATCCCTCACTAGGGGGTGCTCAGCTTCATTCACGGCTGGTGGAGGAGCCAGGATCACACATGGGTAGTCACAGCTGGGGGCCTATTCAACTTCCCCCCCCCACCCCCAGAACCAGCTGAGGGGGGGAATGCGGGGCCCCAGGCATTAGCCAGGAGGAAGTTAACACACCCCAGTCCTAGCCCCATGCCAATTACACCCTATTTCTAAGCCCGCCTTCATCAGCCCCCCCAAAACCTCCCTGCCCACCCCCCCGTCTCTCCCTGGCATTGTAGCTATGCAGATATGCTCTGCACAGGCTGTTTGCACATGGTGAAGGGAGGGCACGGTCTCTGCAGGTCACCTGTGTCCTGGCTCAGAGACAGCTGCATCCATGATCCCTGTTCCCGCTTCCCTATTTCCCC